TCAGCTCAGATTACTGCAGCATTGGGTGGTGTCGTTAGCCTAATCTCCAACTAAAACCTTTTTGGTAGCTTAGTTGGTTAATCTCAGTAACACTGTAAGGGATCTGAACAGAATATGAACTATTGATCCGTTTCTTTGATGCTTTTTGCACACAGCAGACCCAGAGTCGCTGCAAACCAATGAGATCAGCTCCTCAGGCTCATTTATTAAAAGATGTTTTACAATCTTTGGGCTGATTGGTACCAGCAATGCTGGATCGTTGGCACCTTCAATGTTCAGTGAAGTCTGATTAATATGAATGAATGCATGAATTAGTGATTGAGTGACCTTAGATGATATTTCTAAAAACAAAAGAAAAAAAACAATCTGTGCTTAAAACTGGGGCAGGTCATCTGTAATGTCTGTAAGGGCAGCTCTAAGTGGAGTTTATCTATGATGAGGAAAATACTAACAGTACATCCAAAAACAAACGTTTCAATCATAGAATGCTTATTTCACACAGATTGGAATATTTCAACTCATCATGTTGTGAATCTTTAAACAGAAATTTCAGGTTTTTCCTTCTATGCTGTAAATATCTGTGCTGGGCTCCTCCTGCAGCGCAGCATGGAGGCCATCAGTGGTTCTGCTCAGCTCTGATAGAAACCCAGGTCGCTTTGATTGCTGAATCAGTTCAGCTTCCTCTTGACTCTTAGCCTGATAAACCAGATTAAATGTGTAATCTCGTCTGGCCAAGATGAATGAGACATCAGAAGATTGTTGATGAGAACAACCCGTTGTTTTTCAAACCATGTCTGTGCCTATCGGCCAACGCTCTGACCAACCAGCTTGTGGGGGAGTGTAAACAAACAGCATGTCCGTAAAACGGCGAATATGTCCTTCTTAAAAATGAATGAGCGTAGAGCCTCTTCCTGCTCACGTTTCAACAAAAAGTCTAATCCTTCGAAAACTGATTCCAAAGCTGAGTCAAACAAGAACTGTTCTATAGTTGCTGCCATCTTCCTTGTGTTTTCTCCAGCGTCGCGCGACTTTGTTGTCACGCCCTCAAAACACCGCCTGCTTTGCATCCAGAAATTCAAAACACATCTCTGCGTTGTGATTGGCCCACCAGTTTTGGGCCTGAGGCATTGATCGAGGCTAGACCACTGGCAGGCAGAAATGATTTTGGCGTCTGGCGGGGGGGAGGGGCTAGTTTACTAGGCTACTTGACTCTGTAAATTCTGGCCGTTTCTCAATATGTGTACTTGAACGAACATTTAGTGCATAATTTAAAAAAAAATCCGTTCTTGAGAGGAGCACAGCGACTTACGTTAGCCCGTCTGCAGCAGCTGGGGCTAATGTTAGCCCATCTATGGCAGCCAGGGCTAACGTTAGCCCGTCTATGGCAGCCAGGGCTAACGTTAGCCCGTCTATAGCAGCCCTCTCTCTGCATAGCCGTGTGTGAAGTACCGCTCGCTCTGATGGCAATTTTTTTGTTTTATTTGGCAAAATGTTCATTTGATTTGTGTTTATCTGAGTGTTTTGATTATTATTCCCCAACTAAATGAAAAAAGTAAGAATTTATTATTATCTAGAGACTATTAATAACATGAGGGGAAATGCAGCTCCAGACGAGCCGAGCGTGTGGTGATGTCATCAGTACGCTTCTGCTCCAACGGACCCATATTTATGCTGCGTGCTCCCGTTCTCCCAGGGCGTTTCTCAATATGCGTTCTTGAGTGTTCTCGTGTGCTTGTGTACTCGTGACACGTCATCAGCCTCAGCCCGAGTACCGTTCCAATTCTCGAGAACGCCAGATCGAGAACGCATCAAATCCCCGGATGTTGTTCTCACCCCGCCCTCTTTATCGAGCTTGCATCAGAGCAGACTTGTGCGTTCTCAGACTGACCGCTTCCCCAGAATGCCCCGCGGCCGCAGCTTGATTCGAGGGCTAAATTTACCCCGTCTGCAGTGCACATCTCTTGGTCTAGTTATGTGTGAACTACCGCTCGTTCTGATGGCGGTTTTTTGCGGTTCG